ACCTGGAATTAAGCAGAAACTTCCTAACAGTGAGGACAATTAACCAGTGGAACAGCTTCCCTTCAGAAATTGTTGGCATTTCATCACTGGAGGTTTTTAAGAAGAGACTGGACAGTCACTTGTCTGAGATGGTATAGGTTCTCCTGCTTGAGCAGGGGGCTGGACTAGAAGACCTCCAAGGTCCCTTCCAACTCTATTCTATTCTATTCTATTCTATTCTATATCACATGACCGTAGGGATGCTGCAACAGTCATAAGTGTGAAAAATGACCATAAGTCACTTTTTCAGTGCTTTTGTAACTTTGAACAGTCACTAAATGAACTGTTGTAAGTCAAGGACTACCTGCGGTGTTATGTGAGCCATCCTAGTTTATAATTTAGAAAGCACCATATAAAATTAAAATACTACCTTTCAGAAATCTTTTAGCAAACACCTAGAAGCTATCACAACTGCAAGATCACAAATAGCGGCAACTTAAAATTTTAAAAAATGAACAAAAGCAAAGATTTACCAAATCTCTAGAAATCCTTAATAAAGGGGAAAAAGTGTTCCAAGAAAGATTCAAATTAAAAGGATTTAAGGAAAAAATAAGACTCGGCTATGTTAAAATGACATTGGCATATGGTAAGAAGTGTCAGTGTTTACAATCCTGAGGCATGTTTTTACTAAATTTATTGTTATACACTTCATATAATTAGATCAAAAACGAATTACTGTAGCCTAAAGAAAGATGTGCTATAGATGAAAGCAAAAGTGAAAAGGGAGGTGGGGGTGGGGAAGGAAATCATATACTTTAATTATTTATATTGCTTGCAGCATTTTGTGCTTCACTGCACTTTATTATACAAGGCAATAGATTCAAAAAATTTTGAGAGTGGTAAGGAATTCAAAGTTCACTTTTTAAAAAGAACATTCACAGATGTGTATTCTGCATTTGGTTTATTCTCTAATCATCAAAGGATGATGAGACTTTAAAAAAAGCAAGCCATGCCCAGAAAGTTCTCCACCAAATAATTGTACACAGTACCCTGAATTTCAAAACCAATTTGGGAGTGTAATCCTATAGTTTTTAAAAATAGAAAACTATTTTTAAATCCTTGAGATTTACCTTTAAGAGCGGTTTGGAAGTCTAGTTAAAAGGAAATTATCACGAAAAAGATCTATGGAGGCTATATTTTGGGGCAGACATCGCAAAACTTTTTTTTACTATCAAAGATTTAACTAATAATAACAACAATTCATTAAATCTATATACCATTTGACTCCCAGCATCTCTGGGCAGATTACATTTAACATTTCTGCAAGCCTAATCTCATTGTTAATCTTAAAACAGAGAACTCTGTTCTTCTATATATTTTGATTTTAAGCATGGGAAGCTTTTACTGTTTCCCTAAAACTGTGTATATAACAGTATATACAACTGTACCTACCAACCTATTTATATGAAAACTGGAGAATACTGATTTTGTATTTCTGCACACATATACAAAGGCACTTAACAGCATGTTATCTCTTTTCATAATCAACCAAATAGTCTTTACTTCCTGCAACAATGAACCACTTTTTCCTCATATAACCTGCTGCTTAGAAAGTCCAAGAACAAAGAATAATTTAATTTGTGGTTTGACTTCAAATTCTGAAGATGTCTGAAAGCATGGACCAGTTGTAGCAGATTTTGCTGTCCATGCCACATTTGGCAATGAACTCTGCTGTATCCCACTCAAAGAAAACTCCTCTAGATTATGCACCTGTCCACAATCTCACAAAAATACCAAAATACACAATTCCCTGTTTGGATTTTAATAATTATGTGCCATAATTATCCTGAAGAAGGACAATTGAAACAATAATATTTACTTCACTGAATAATAGTTAAGAGATTGGGTTGTGTCACACTAAGTTAAAAAAATAGGGTTTTTTTATTTAGCAAGAAGTCTTTTTAATGTCTTTTTACTCAAGCTACTTCTATTTCTCCCAAGAATGATTCAGGTGTGACTGCTTCCAGCCTTCTCATCCTTACTCTTGTATGTGCGGATATCCTATAAATACAAAAGAATTTGGTTTTCCAAGGTCTCTCCTTTCCTATTATGATTACTACTATTATAGTAACCAACAGACATGTTTACATTTGCAAGATAACAGTTTTACTGCACTGACTAAATTTATTGATATTTCATGTAAAAAAAAGCACACTGTTTCCAAAGCATTGCAAATTCAGTTCCTATTCTGTATGCTGATTGAACAAATTCCATGATCCTATAAATATTTATATAGTATTTCCTGCCGAGTTTGCTATTACAGGAGCATCTTCTACCTTTTTTTTCCCTACAAAACGAAACATGTGTGGTCATATTTACAGAACTGGACTATGTTATGCAAAGCTATCAGGGCCCCTGATAATCTATCTCAAGTGTCAGGCAGCAGGCTTCATCACAGAGGAAAAGGAGAAAATGACCCAAAGGAGAAAGCTTCCTACATCATCAATGTATACCAAGCTCAGCAAAAAGAAATTGTTAGAATTACTTCTGAGATAGTCTTTAATTTATAAAGGCTCATAAAATTATTGTCTTTATATCTGGGGATAAACTCTTATTCAAAGTCTCATTCACATTATTCTCAGATAGATTTTGTTGCATATCTTTTTTTTATAACCTCGTCTTTTCGGAACAGAGTGTTCCAAGAAGAAACAGCATAGTTGACATAATTGATTTAAAGTCCCAACACAATTCCTAGTGCAGTTCCTCAAAGGTATCTCTCAACGATGTCGTAAGTTACTTGTTTAATATGTCTCCAATATCAAAAACACTTTTTCTTTCCCACAAACATGCATTTTATTCTTTAAAAATAATTTCAAAATCTTAATATTCAAAATCCAATTTTCCAGTGTTTTCTGAGCCCTCAATTCATTTAAAACTTTTTAGAGACAATACTCTTGCTTTTTTACTATTTGTTTTAAATTCTTAATGATTATAAAAATGGATCTTCATTTTCTTATATTAAGAGCTGAATGCATTCTCCCAGTGTTTACCAATTTTGTCCATTTGAAACTGTCTAACGTATTTGAAGCAGTTAATAGCCAATTTCCAAAAGTGGTCAGCAAAAGAAGTGCAAATTTAGCATCCTCTAAAACAGTGGTTCTCAACCTGTGGGTCGGGACCCCATTTGGGGTCGATCGACCATTTCACGGGGGTCGCCAAGCAAGGCTGTCTGCCATTTTTTTTGTCCATTTTTTTTGTCCGCCATTTTTTTCCCCTTTTCCGGCGGGTGCCTTACCTCCCTTGGGCTGGGCCAGCTGGTGGTCGGCCTGCTCCGTCTCTGCCGCTTGCCAGCTACACCTCGGCCAGCGCAGGGGGCGGAACCACGCATGTGTGGCGCTCCTGGGCAGGGAAAGTCCTCGACTTATGACCAGTTGGGTAGTCCTTGACTTATGACCGGTTTAGTCCTCGACTTACAACCGGTTTAGTCCTCGACTTACGACCGGTTGGGGTCGCGGCATTAAAAAGGTTGAGAACCACTGCTCTAAAAAGTCACCATTTGTGGCTGGATCAATTGTGGCAAATTCACACATCTCCCAATTCTCCCTCCTCCTCTGGAGACTAGTATCTTGTGATCTTCTCATGAGAAACAATGTAAGAAGCATAGCTTGGGCAATCTCACATCCTCTCTTTGTCCAGAGAGAGTCATGGGACACAATCTACCTGTCGGCTCTCTATTCACAGCTGCAAACATCAGCTCCATTTTTCATGGGGCTGTTTTCAGTCTACCACCTTCCACAGAATCATCTGTTTGTTTCTCTTACAAAGGAGACTGCTTAAAGTATTGAAGAAATTAATAACAATTGTTAATAACCATCTGAATGCATTATAGAGAAAGATTGCTTTGTATAAAAAAAGGAATATAGCATCAGTTTATTTGACCAGGATTAAAATGGGACATTTTTTATGGTTCTTTTTGGATTTGCTGATATCTTGACTAGAAAAATGGTGCATACTATATTTAATTACATGTAAAATGGTGTTTAAGAATTTTCCCCTTCAGTTAACTTATATATCCTATTTTTTAACATTTAAACTGGCTCTATGTCTGTCTTTTTACTTAAAGTAAAGAAGTTTTGTGAACTTATTCTTTTTAAAGGAGACGTTAACTCTCTTTGTTATGTTAAAATTTATTTTTTTGTTTATATTAGGACACTAGGATTATTTTATATATGTGGATTTGTTTATAATTTAAAGCTGAAATATGGGACGTTTACTTAATGCTGCTATTTGGGGTGCTTTTCTTTGGAATTGGGATTTGGAATCAGAAAAATGTATATTAGAGCTTGTCTTTTTTAAAAAATGGTCTCTCTTTGTTATATTAAACTTTAATTTAGTTTAGTTTAGGTTTTTTATACTATATATAGATATAGATATATAGATAAATATAGATATAGATATATATTCATTCATTCATACTTTCATTTATTCATTCATTTCCTGCCTTTATTTCTTTTACAAATAACCCAAGGCAGAAAATATATCCAATAGATCTTTCTCCTCCACAACAACAACCCTGTGAAGTGAGTTGGGCTAAGAGAGAGTGATTGGCCCAAGGTCACCTAGTTGGCTTTCATGGTATAAGGCAGAATCTGAACTCATCTTCTCTTTTTTTCCTAGCCTGGTGCCATAACCACTAGACCAAACTGGCTCTCTTTTAGAGCTCTGTTTAGACTTTTGCTGATAATTGGATTGGAGAAGGCATTGCTTATTTGATTTCCCTATTGTTAAGAAATGGGTTATTAGATGATGAGTTTTATATTTGTTAACTAAGAAGAGGTAAAGAGATTATGAAATTGTTTATACGTTGTGATGTTGGTGGGAAGATCCTTTCTAGAGAGGATGTCCTTAGTATTTTTTGGAGGGGTTGCTTTCTTGCAATCTTTTTCCCCCCTTTTCTTTTTTTCTTTTTAGTTTGTATTACCTTTTATTGATATATCTAAAAAAAGAAAGCTACCCCCATATACAAAGCAAGCCAAAAAAAGTCACTCATAAATGACAGGGACAGAAGCTGACAGCCCTTAAGATGTGGTATACGTCAAAGCTCCTGGAAGAATTGCCGTTCAGAGAGCTTTCTTTAGAACATCATATAAATTACATTATTGCTTGTCAAATGAAGCAGAACCCTAGATGTCATCCTGCATAAAAATGGCAGACCTCCGTCACCCCGAGAGCTGGCAAATTGCTCTACTCACCAAACGCAAACTCTTCTTGCTCTGTTTCTTCCTTCAGTCTCTTGTAACGTTCTTTCACTCTCTCTAGTTTTTGGATATTTTGGGCATTCAGAGTTGACCATTTACTGAGCAGCCCTTTCAGGCAGTCTCTTTCAGCCGTTAGTGATTGAATTTCTACTGCAAGATCTTTAGCAGTACAGAAATTACCTCCTGTGCATTGAACAGATGAGATTAGGAAGAGTTAAAGACAGGGAAGAAACAAAACTTTGACTTTTTAAATAGACTGTTACAAAAACTAAAGAACTAGCCACTTGTATAGCACATACAACATGAGCAATGAACGCGTATTTAATGTATTCATTGTTGTTTTTGTTTTCTCAAGGCGGTTGACAATCAATTAAAATATAAATGTAAACAGTTGTTATTATTATATATTGGTTGCACAGTAAGCTAGAAGTTTAATCTGCTTGAGCATTTCTGTTCACCTATCGAGAAAGATGGATGCATCTAATGATTAAATACTATAATAAGCCTTCTTGATTGATTGATTGATTGATTATGTACCATCAAGTTGTTTTTTATTCCTAGCAACCACAGAGATATATTATCTTCATGACTATCTATCCCTAACCTGTTAATAGAATGATAATACAATATTCAAAATAATGAATAAATAATCTTGATAAATTAGGAGCACGGTGGCTTGTATGGTTAGGATGCTGGCTTGACAGGCAGCAAGCCTGCGTTCGAGACCTGAGTTCTGCCATGGGGTGGGCTGAGCTCCTATTCTTCGCTCCAGCTCCTACTGGGGACATGAAAGGAGCCCCCAACTGGATGTCCCTCAGGCAACAGTGATGTTGCCAGCTAATACTTGGTGCTTCTGACATGAGTGAGATTCAATCTTAATAAATTAATGCATAATTTTATTTTTAATAATGATTTAATAATAAATAATTCATTCATTCATTAAAATAACAATAAATGCAATGCAATAATATCTTATCAGCGATGCCAGATATTGCCCTGCAATAACATTTGGACAGCCATGGCACAACCCTTCTAAGCTGGACTTAATTTTCTTAGCCCAAAAAATCTGTTACCAACTACGGCTACATTTATTCCCTCATCATTCTCAAAATCAAGATTCTGTAATTAGAAGTCACTCTATTTTGTTTTGAAAGGTCAGGGAGAAGATACCATCCTCATTATTAAAGTTTTATGCTTACTGAATGATTATTAATTCCCAGAAGGAAACTTAATATCAAGACTTGAAGTGCTGATGAAATACGCCCCATACCCCAGTTAATAATTTATAAGCATTTCTGTCTCTAATATATGCTCTGGAGACAAATCTGCCCTTGTTTGCTTTTCTTATTATTTTACTTTATGGCAGCAAGAAATGTGACTTCAATTCTGAGGTGAAATATCAAAAACTCATCAAGAAATTATCATGTCACTCTCTTAAAGTGCCAGCAGTGAACTCCTGACCTCAATCACAGTAACTAAAATTGGCACTTTTTAAAAACCACATGAGGACTCTTTTCCAAACATATCTGCATAAATCTGCCCCAGCGATAGAAAACACCAAGTGATATGGCATTCTAATGTTATTTTTTTTAAAGACTAAGTAAACATTCTTCTGGGAAACAGTTAATATAATTTAATTAATACAATTCTTCATTTTTCTTGACAGATTTATACGTCACTGAAACTGCACACTGTAATGGTTTCATTGCTAGACTTTCTGGTTTCATCACCTCCATATACTTGGCAGGTCTTATTAAGCAAGCATCCAAGCCTTTCCAACATTTGAAATGCAAATGGCTCCCCAAAAAGCTGAGGGAGAAAAATGTAGATAGTGCTCAGAATGATTTTCTTCACTCGTTGAAAATCAGAAAGCAAGTTTAGCAAATGATGGTTGGTCACACAGTCAGTATAATGTTAAGAATGGATTTGGTATATTTATCCACATATTGAGTCCTTCCCAAAAAAAGCAACAAAGATGATCAGGGGACTGGAGGCCAAAGCATATAAGGAAAGGCTGCTGGAATTGGGTATGTCTAGTTTAACGAAGAGAAGGATGAGGGGGGACATGATAGCAGTGTTCCAATATCTCAGGGGCTGCCACAAAGAAGAGGGAGTCAAGCTATTTTCCAAGGTGCCTGAGGGCAGGACGAGAAGCAACGGATGGAAACTGATCAAGGAGAGAAGCAACTTAGAACTAAGGAGAAACTTCCTGACAGTTAGAACAATTAACCAGTGGAACAACCTGTCTCCAGAAGTGGTGAATGCTCCAACACTGGAAGTTTTTAAGAAGAGACTGGACAGCCACTTGTCTGAAATGGTATAGGGTTTCCTGCCTGAGCAGGGGGTTGGACTAGATGACCTCTAAGGTCCCTTCCAACTTTATTATTATTATTATTATTATTATTATTATTATTATTATTATTATTATTATTATTATTATTATTATTATTATTATTATTATTATTATTAAAAATCTGGGAGTAGGAAGATGTTGTTTCGTAGTATCAAAGGTATCAGCGAAGGATGAAAGATGGTCCAAAGAAAGCTACCTTTTGCAATTGATAGATGGTGATTATTTCTCAGTGCCAATGGTAATCAAGTGGGTCTCCAATTCTTTAGGGATTGTACCCAAGACGTCTATTACTATCAGTACTATCTTTACTGTACTTTCTTTGCCATAGTCATTCTACCTCTGTTTGCAGGTCTTTGTATTTTGTAATTTTCTCCAGTTCTATTCTGCTGTCTCCAGGTATTACAACATCCACTATCCATACTTCATTTTATCTTTCTTATTGGCAGCTATTAAGTGCCTGCTTGAATTCTAAAGTCCCAGAGCACTTTAGATTCTTCATTTTCTATTACTTTGTCTGTTTTGTGGCCCCACCATTTCTTGCCTGCAGGCAAATGGTATTTCTTGCTGGCAACATTGTTGCTACTTTGTCATGCTGTTGTCTGCTGTTAGTCAGTCTGTGCTCAGGCAGTGAATATTCGTATTATCTTTGCTTTCTTTTGCCATAGTCATTGTACTCCTGTTTCTACTTATACATTTTTATATTTTGTAATTTTCTCCAATTCTTCCTCAACTGTTTTGCTATGTCCAAGTGCTGCAAAGTTCACTATCCAGACCTTTTTTTTAATCTTTCTTAACAACAATTATTAAGTCTGGGATGTTATGTTATGTATTATTATTTCTAAAACCCAACTGACCCAATTATTTTTTTCTGGAGTAATGCAGTTGCATTTTAGTGGAACAGAGAAATTATTGTTTTTTGGAATTTCCACTAGAAATTCAGTATGTTAAGAATTAAGAAGCATTGGCCTATCCCCATGCTAGCATGGTGACCATCTCCTTCGTTTGGGAAGGATTTAAATGCTGCATGACTCGTATCCTTCCTTGTTCCTCTTTGGACTTCTTTGTTCCCAGTAATTCTGAGGACAAATATCTGTAAAAGTAAATTCTGAACCTGGCTAGTAGAAAAATTCCCAACTAACAAAGGGAATTTCTAATGGGATTTCTAAGAGGAAAAGTGACTTGGACACCTTTCAACCCCATTTCAGCCATTGTGTCTTTGAGTTAAGATATGCTGTAATTGGATATGTCTGTTTCTTTAAATAGATATTATAAAGAATGGCTAGTCTAGAAGGGGTTTTTTTTGTAGGTTTCTCTATGTACTTATTTAATAAATTGATAAGCCACCTCAATCAGTGAAGCCTGTCTAAGATGATGTGTAACCAATTCATAAAAACATTTAAAAATCAAATGCATACCAAATAAACTGCAAGAACACCAAAACTACATTGAAAACCTTAAATGTAAAGGCTACAGATGAGAGGGGGGTAGACAGACAGCTCTTTTGAAGATGAATAATATTTTCATTGCAATAGTAGCTGTTTATGATCTAATGAGGAAGAAACTGCCAACTGTTCTATTCCACAGGAGTGCAATTTAAATCAGATACATCCTAATCCTTGCACCCTTTATTTTCATTTCTCCCCCCTCTCTCGCAAAAGCCCACGGTGACTTAAATAATTTGTTCCTGACTTTTTTAAGAATTCTAATTCTGGTGAAGAATTCTCTGTCATGAAACATTTTGGTATCTTCCTATTCCATCAATAATTACCTGATGCAGCAAGCATTTTCGTTTCAAGAAGAGCTGGAAGTTGAATCTCAATGTGTCTCACTTTTTTCCTTAACATACTGCAGAGCCTCTGACTAGTACATACCTAGATGGAAACAGGCAGCCTTGATATGGATTTCATTCATATAAAAATGCAAGGAAATACAAAGGCATGTCAGGTTGTCTTGGTTACAAGACATGTATCATTTCAATACAACAATCAAGATGAATAGAAAGTAATGTGCAACTTTGCTGAAAATCGTTTACCCCCACAGTACAGTACAGCTTTCCAACATAAACAGCACTTTAATTAGCAATGGGCAAATCAGAGACAAAATAATCACAAAGAAAGAAGAGAAGCAGATATCATGGGATCGTATTTCAGACAAAAGGCCAAAACTGGCAAAAAAAATCGCAGATGTCTGAACTTTCTGCAAATATCTTGTTAATTGTCAGTAACTGCTGAATGGAATGTGTTGTGCTTCAGATACAAAGTCAAAAAGATGCTTCAGAAGAGCCTATGTGTGCTCTCAGCAATTCCTCAATTCAGATGCATAATTCAGAAGCGTAAATTCCTAGAGTCACATAGTTACTATGCAAGTCAGAAGGCCTTTTCAGGCATGAATTCAAAACACCCAGTATCCCTGCTTTTTGAAAATCAAAATAGACTTGAACCAGATGAACAACTTAGCCCTACTCTTTCCTTTCATGCCATGATGGAACTGCTGGAATAGTGCCTTGTTCCAAGACATATTGGGCAAAGCTATGACAGCTTATAGTTCTCAAAATAAGAGTCCACACTTCTCATTAGTGTAACTCTTTTTTGATCAAGAAGGCAGCTAAATTCAGATGGCCCCAAGGAAGTAGTATAAAGTGCTTTTGCAGTTAAAAATAACTGCACATAAGTGGCTCAGTGCTTATCAGTTTGAAATTAAAATGCAGCCACCCAAAATAAGACAAGGAGCAATATCCAAACCAAAGCCTTGATGGAACAAATAGTTTTATTGCCTTACAAAAGAAGAATATGATTTTAACTCTCTGTATCCCAGGGTGACATATTCCTAACATTTGTGTTGTGACAAAGAAAAGTGTCCTTCTGTATCCCCACTCCTTTCAATTCATGAAGGGTGGGAAATCTCAGTTGCCTGTCTCAGATCAAGATGAAACCAGCAAGGAAAGTTGAAGTGACAAAGATATGTGAGATTTCATAGGTTAAAACCAGACTCTTGGATTGGACCTGAAAGCTGGCTGACAACCATCACAATGACGGAAGACATGTATAATGTACTAGACCAGGGGTAGTCAACCTTGGCTCTTTTATGACTCGTGGACTTCAACTCCCAGAATTCCTGAGCCAGCTAAGCTGGCTCAGGAATTCTGGGAATTGAAGTCCACGAGTCATAAAAGAGCCAAGGTTGACTATCCCTGTACTAGACAAACTCTTCCCAGTTAGTAGATGGGCTGTTGTATTTTGTATCAATGGCACCTGACTCAATCATTTTCAAGGGCAGCCCCATGTAACACACATTGCAATAATCTAACACACATTGCAATAATGTAACACACATTGCAATAATCTAAATATCACCAAATTTGATATTCAAAAATAAGAACCTGCTGGATCTTGCTTAAGGCAGTTTGGTGTCTTTCACTAATGTACAGTAACTCACTGACTCATTAGTGCAGGGGAAAACAACAGTTTGATTTTACTTACTTCAGCAGCAGTTTCTGTCATCGATATATTAAGGGACTGCATTTTTTCTTGAAGCCTAGAAATAACAAATTAGTATTAAAATCTGATATTGTTTTTAATCCCTCACACACATATTCAGAAGCACCACCAACTTCAGGTAAACCTATTAAAACATAACAAGTGCAACTGATTACCAACAACCTTCACACCCACAAGAAATCTAAGTCCAGCCCACTTTGAATTCCATTGACTCTTATCTACCTCAAATTTGCTTTGATTGTTGTAGTTCAGATTTTTGCAGAGAACTTAAGCTTGCGATAAACCCTTATATTCATTTGAACTGCCTGGATTTCCTGATTTCTTTAGCGTTTGTGGGTCAGGCTTTTTTAGTGCTGTCCCCAAATGAAATTATTCTTTTCTATTCATAAGTTCTCCTTAACAAGATTTATTGAGATGACTAAAATGAGGTCATAAGGTTTCCGGAAACTAAATTATTTTCAATTTAGAATTAATATATTTCTCTATATATTATAGAGACTTTTGGATTTTGTTTTAAACCTTCCTATAATCCAGCAAAAAGATTTTCTCTATAGTGGTAATAGCGAAGCTTGTCATTGGTTGTTTGCATCAAGTTGCTTGAAATCTTTATCAATCTGGAAACCAACTCTTCCATACAGCATACTAAATAAAGCAACTATACAAATGGGATGAGACTGATGAGGGTTGAAAAAAGCACTGGACTTTACTTATCAAGAGACTCCAAAATGGGAATGAAGACTCCTGGCTCTACCAAAGACCTGAAATCTTTCGCCAAATGTCATTAAAAGGCATGACCTTCAAAACAGATCTAATCCAACTCCTTTGAAAGAGGACAAATTCGATACTACGGGGGATTTCTCTCTGCTGAAACTTACATCAATGAAAAGTATATAGCAAAATTCTATTAAGAATGAAATGGTTTCTTTGCCCTTCAGCAACACAACACAAATCCATCAGGGCTTCTAATAATTCCTTGGCACTTGCAGTTTCTACCTGTGAATTTTCTCTGGTGTTTGCTCATCTTGTTAACAAGAAAACTGTTTAACTATAATACCATTTGGCTTATTTTTGTACTTTACTGGTTAAACAGCAATGAAAAAAAAGCTTATTGGATAAATTATATCTTGTGAATAAGCAGAAAATACCCTAGATTCAATACTGGAGTATTCACTTTTGCTACCAATTACTACTGTATAGCTTAAGGAGTAGCTTTTTAAAGTATTGCTGTTGTTGCTATAGTAGATAAACCCTTCTCTGCTGCTGTTTAGAAGAACCATGAAGACTGGATTCTTCACTCAG